CTAGTGGCAGCACTCAATTTTGCTGGCTTGCGTCTAACTGTGCAACTTGTTTGTTACTCCAGGTGATGTGTTGGTGGATTGGATTTGTGGTTTGACATTCTTCGTGTTATTTCTTTGTAAGAATGAACTGGGTGGTTGCTTTACAACATCTACATTTCAACTTTCATTTGTATACGCCCCCTTTGGCAACAGGAAAATCTGTAAATAGCTTGCTGCTCCTTTCTTGTTCCAGATTTTCAAGGCACAAGGGTCGCAGCATTGAGGTCATAGGTTTTTGTCACGGCTCTACAAATGAAAAGAAGATCTTATAGAATTGAAGAAAAGATGTACATTGTGCTGTTGAGTTGGAATTCGTTACCTGTTTTTGATCTCACATGCCAATCCCGTGGACTGCTTATGAACTCGAATGTTTGAAAAATATGTTCAGAAATGAGTGTTTATACGTAAATATCTTGGGAAAAATGCAAATGGACAAGAAAGATGGATGATCATTTATGATTCCTATTGACTTTTATCCTCTTAAACTGTGTTAATTCTCCCTAATCTGCTTCTTTCTCCACTTCTTTTTCTTTAGCAGGCCTGAGGTTTTAATGCCTCCCATGTTGAGTTTTGATACAACCATGGTGCAGCCCCCGAGAGTCTGGGTGAGGCTGAACCTGTCGCCAAAGACCCAAAAGTGCCAGTCAGCTGCAAAACCAAACTGCATCTGGGGCTAAGTAAGAATCTATACCCCCATAACACGCACTTAAATCCATCCATTGATTGCGTAGGTGATCTGTGTCCTCTGATCAAACTTGAAACATTCCGGCAGTCTTTGATACCAGGTCATTAATTGATAAAAGAAAAAAAAATGAGTGATCTTGGTTGTTGCTTTACAAAAGGAAAAATCATCTTGATTTTTTGCGATGATTACTCTCTTATATCAAGACTTTTGAATACATAGAGAAAAAACAAGGATTTTTTGTTTTTTGTTTTTTTATCAAATAACAAAGGTTTGGAGTTGTTATGTAATATTTTGATTACTAAAATTATAATTAATTTTCAAAGTTTGGATAAGAAGATTAATTTTTTATACATTAAATGATATCATTATTAGTACATCTTATATTACTAAGGCAGTATTGTGTGTTTTTGGTTAAAGCAATTTCACTCCATTAGAGTGAATCATGACTTTATAGGATAAGTCTAAGCATGTTTTTTGTATTTTATTTCATTTAATATTGAGGATATTTTATTTATAAGTTTGCAATTCTCAATATTAGAAATAAATAAATATTTTATTTTAAAAAAAATTAGGTAAGCTGTAATGGTTTTAATAAACTTGTTATTAAATTCATAATGCATGCAAAATATAAAAATTATTTTTTTATTTTTTTTGTTTTAAGAAAAAATGCTAAATAATACAATGTATTTTTTTTTCATATTTTTTGTATTAAAATGAAAACAAGATTTTCTTTTTGACACTTGACCATATGCAATTTAAATATAAATGTATTTTTTATTAAATATTTTTTTGTTTTAATATTTTTTAACAAACAAAATTTATTTAATATTGGAAAAGTGCCTTACATATAAGTTTATAATTTTATATATTAAATATTAAAGGGTAAAAAATAATATAAGAGTCCCAAAATTAATTGCAAAACCATCCTTTAAAAATCTGAGATTTAATTGATATTTAAAAAAGATTGTATTTGACAAAAAAAAAAATATGAGGCTGCTGAAATAATGTTAGGACATGTTTGCCAAATATAATTTTATAATTTTAAAGATTGACGCATTTGTTTTAGTAAATTTTTATCTTGTCAAATCTTAAAGCGCTTAAGAGGCTCAGCTCGTCTACATGAACTAAGCTTATTAGCCTGACCCAAAGACAAAGAACATAATCAACACTCATAAAAGAAATAACAAAGAGCAAATGAATATTTAGGTTGAATTTTAACAAGGATACAATGAATATCAATATGAATCTAGAAACCTAATTGGAGATTCAAGCTCGATTACATCAAATAATAGGTAGAGGAAGATAGAACATGAAGGATCAAAATATTATCAGGCATTAAATATGAAAAATAGATTATGAGATGCAGTTAAAAGTTAGTTTATTAAAAGCTTGGTTTATTTGTTCATTCAACAAGAAGAATGATAATATATAAGTATATATTTTGATCTAAGCTCACAAGAAAGGCTAAAAACCCAGTTTATATATATATATATAAGGTTATAAACATTAAAATGAAAACCTAGAAAATCCACATAAAACTAACTAAACTTGAAAATGACAAAATCTGGAATGTGACCTAAATTTTCCAAGTACAACTGTAACATGTCTACTATAATTTTTTCGATAAATCAAAAACTCAAGAAAACTAAGAAACCGTAACAATGATCCAAATCAAATTACAAAAAAAATAGAAATGCATTTCTTCAACCATAAACACCATTACATTGATCTAACATATGTTTTCAATCAATCTTAACACTAAAACAACTTAATTAAACCAAATATCTTATCAAGAATAGTCTATTGTTAGATAAATCATTTATCAATACATATAATCAAAACAAATTTGAATAACTAAATAAAACTTCAAAACATCATAGATGCTATTTGAACATATTAATAATAAGATATTAATAGTCATTAAAATATCAAACTACATATTTAAATTATCTGAAGCTCATTTTTCCAAACAATATATATCATCTTCAAAATATATTTTGCTATATTAAAACACATACATAACTTTATAACTAACAAATAATCACTATAGATAAACAACAAATATTGAGTTTGATCAACCTTTCAAATTTTAAATTTCTTTCAATTAAACCCTAGTTGCACTCATTAAGATCTTCAAGTTTAAAGTTCAATTGGGTTCTTAATTTTTTAATTCTTATAAATTTATCTAAATTAAACCAATTAAGTTAACTAAACCTATTAAAATTTTAATTAAACCGAATTAATTCTTTTAATTTGAGCTAAATTAACTTTGAAGCTTAAATTTTACTTCAATTAAATTCTTAATTAAATCACTTAAACCCAATAAAATTTTAACTACACCCTTAAACTTAATTAATTATTTTAATTTTAGACAAATTAAATTTCAACTTTAAACTTTACTTTAATTAAGCCCTTTAAAAAATTAGTTAAACCATTACGCTTGATTAATTCTTTCTAATTTGAACTATCCTTGTTATCCTTGTTGCAACTCAAAAACACATCTGTTTGAATCCCAAAAATTTTATTTTTTTTTAAATTTATGATTTTTTTGGATTTTTTAATATTTCAAAAAATTATTTTTTACATGAAAGAATTTTATTATTTATGCATGAAGATGGAAAGAAAACGATTGCTATGGCAACAGCATGTTTTCTGCTTTACAATCGCAGGTTAAAACGCCAGCATCATCTTGTAAATACGCCCTCTGAAAGCATTAGAAAGAACAGATGAAAACACGGTTTGGGAGAAGAAACAACATGACCTTGCAAGCACAGCACACGTTCAGTCTTTCAGTTACGGACCCAGATTTCTGCCAAGGAAAATGGTCTGTGACAAAATCTATTAACAATGATCCTATTTGACCAACAGGCAAACCAAAGCCAGCCGCCATCCACGGTTCCAACACAACTAGTGAACCGAATACATAAACTGAAACCCAAGCAGCTGAGCTCCCTTTCATTTCTCTATGCAGACGAAGCAGGCTCGTCCTTTTCTACCTCTGCCTTCACTTTATCGTCTGTAGTTTTGGTAACCTCTTTGGCCGCAACAGGTACCTCTTCCTCTTCTTTTTCTTCCTTTTTACTATCCTCAACACTCAACTTCTCAATGAGCCCAGCAGCATCTGCAGCATCTTTACTCTCCGCTTTCTTTCCCTGAGTCTCAGCCACCTCTTCAACCGTCTCCTTGAAGGTCTTGCAATCTAACAAAAACCAAAGCATCAAAGATATCACAAACCCACGCTCCAGAAATAACTTGCTTCATACACGAGAGAGAGAGAGAGAGAGAGAGAATGTGACAGTTGCATAATTAATGATGTTCCAAGATCAACATGAGCAGAGATCAGCTTCCCCACGTTTCTGAAGTATGTCAACAAAATTGTAAGACAAAACCACAGATAAAAATGATGTGCTATCAAGGGTGTGTTACCGAAAAACAGATTTCATTTGTTGAAAAAGACAAGTTTCTCACTGAAAAATAAAAAATACATCAAGATTACAACTATTTTTCATAAAAAAATAAAAACCATAATTTATATGTCATATTAATATCTTGTATTTGTGATAATCTAATTGTAGAATATTAATTTTATTTCATTCAAATTAAAACTTATCATGAAGATATTATATTAACTCAAAAAAATATTTGTATTAGATTTATAATAAAAAATAAATTTATGACTAACCACAAATGAAAGTGTAAGAAAAAATAATTTTAATATTTTACATTGCTAAAAAGTATTTGCATGTATATAAATGGGAAAAAAAAAATGTATTTTTCCTGTCTTTTCTTTATTTGAAAAATAAGGGAAAACTAGTAAGGAAAATTGTGGAGAACCAAACTCATTATGAATTTGAAAAATTGAAAAACTAATTTTCACGTTTTTTGAAAGGAAAAACATTGAATTTGAACAGGAAGTTTTAATTTATTTTTTTTACTTCAATTTTTCCTAAAATTAAAGCATCACTATGTTTTTGAACAACTCCTAAGACTTCTAGCATTTCTTTGAAAACTCAGCATCACATTTCTTACTACAAGTTATCGAGTACTTATAAAGGGAAAATAAAAAGAAAGATGATATTACTGATTAAATTCCTACCAAACAACACCTTTTCAGCATTTCCACAATTTTACAGTGATACAAGTATTTACCATATCAAGCCACAAACACAGGAAGTACTCAATTTGTTGTCACGCAATCGTTAAAAACTTAAGAAGGAAACAAATCTTCAAATTGATGAAAATCAGGGGTAAACTGCAGCTTCAAGAAGTTTTAAAAAAAAAGAGCATTTTTGCAAGAAACTGTGCAATATCAAGTCGAAACTAATGTAAGTCACGGCTATCAAACTTCTTATACAATCAAAATCAGATTTAATGAGTTCTATCACTGTTTAATAAAAAGATTAATTGCTCAAAATGCATTAAAACGTTTATTGAGTGTTACATTTAATTGAACTACATTATGTGAGATATTGAACTTGTGCTTGAAATCCAAAAGTGCTGAACCCATATGTCATATACCCAATCCCGTGGGTGACCAAACTTGCTAATCAACTACATAGCTATGCCCATGTACCACCTAAAATGCTCTTAAGTGTCAACTACATAGCTGTGCCCATAGATCACCTAAAATGCTCTTAAGTGAATTCATACGCATGCAAAGACAATCAACATAGAAACTCTTTGCAGCCAACCCACCACGCACAATACACATCCAGAAAAAAGTTCGGGTTCACTCATTGTTTCAGTTACACGAATTTACCAAGACACATGGCTACGAAGAAACTCTAATTATGCTTTCATTTCCCTTCCTCTTTCTGAGGCATTAAACATCAATTAGTTTCTGCTGAGCCATTATTATATAAACCATAAAGCACGTCTAAAACACTTTCCTACTTTGGAAATATTAAATGTTAATCAACATTCAAATTTGAAAAGAAGGCAACGAAGACAGTCAAAAACCCTAAACTTCTACGAATTATGACGCCGTAAAGCATGAAAGAAGACATTCTCGACACCAGAAGATAATGCAAGTAATAGCTGATCAAAGAGTAACTGGTACAAAAAAGCACATACTTTCAACCGAAGGAAATCTTATGCAGAAAAGCTCATCCTTCAATTCCCCATCAGCAAAATCAGCAGCATGCCACAGACATGATTTGTCATTTCCTTGATGTTCTTGCACATTAATTGTCGGCAGAACTGAAATGCAACATCCATGCAACACAATAAGGCAAATACTTACCATAAAACAAACATCACAGGAGAAAAAAACGACAGCCCATGTTCTGTTCTACGAATTAAAACCACTAGCTTAATACATTTATAATAATATTAACAGACAACAAGAGAAACCCATCAAGAAATTGAAGAGTAAATTAGAGTTGATTTAACAAGAAAGACATGCAGACCTAGATGGTTAGCGCAGATCTTGAGAGTCTTAGATTGGCGAAAAACAAGACGAACTTTGGCAGATTCTTTATGTTTCAAAAGCTTCACAGTCCCAACTCCTCTCTCTTTCCACTGATTCCCTTCTTTATCAAATCTATACAACTTCGCCTTCCTAAAAAAATCCCATCATAAACTATTCACATTTTACTCAAAAAAATAAAAAATAAAACAAAAACGTACAGATCAAGGATGGCATCTTCATCTTCCTCGCCAGTACTAACAGCGACTTCTTCCAGCTTCACGATAGGTGCAACTTGAGCTCCAGTATCTTCATCCTCCGCTGCTCTAGTTGCAGTTGCATTTTCTTCTTCTTCTCTTTCTTTGGTACTGTGCTCTGGCTCGCTTGCAGCTGTGGCGGAGATACTGCTTGCCATTTTTCAGAGAGAGAGAGAATTTGAAGGATGATTTTTATTATAATTTTTAGGGGTATGGGAGCCGGAAGAGAAAGGCGGATGGGTGGGGATGGGTGGGGATGCGCCTGCCTGTGCGCTACACCCTTTATATTTGCTGTGACAAGAGGAGTGAGGATTGCGGCATTGCATGCGACGTGGGTCCAGTTTTATTACCTTCTCTTTTGCGCTTGACAGGTGTAAGACTATTTTGGTAATGTGCTTTCCTTCCTTTGTTTTGTTTTTAAGATAGATATTTTTACCCATTTCGTCGTTTGATTCGTGGCTACTTCAGATCTTTCGTAGCGGGCTGAAAACAAATATTGATATAAAAAATATTAGGACAAAAAAAAAATTCAAACCTCATGTGTGGTGATTTAAATAATATAAATAAATATAAAACAGCCAAAAAAATAAGAAGAAAGAATGGGATTTGAACCTATCATAATAATTGGATAACTAAATACTAGCCTAATAAAAGATAAAAATAAAAATAATAAATAAATAAAAATAAATAAATTTAGATAAATATTTTAAATCTAGTCTAATTTTAAAAACTTATAGCTTGTTAAATCCTGAACTCGAGTTTAATTAAAAGACTTGACTTCAATTACTTTAATTTTAAATAAAAAACATTAAAAAATTAAAAAGAAATTCACAAAAATTAAAAAAAAATAGCAAAAACAAGAATAAGGACAGATTTTGAGAGAGGAAAAAACTAAGGATGGAATTTTAAAATAAACAACACTAAAAAAAACTAAATAATAATTAAAAAAATAAATTAAAAATAATTAAAAAATCATGCTAACTAATTATCTACAATGCACATCGTCAAATAGGATCAATGGCAAGAGCTTGTAAAAGCTAAGCGTGATTTACTTAATCAAGTATTGTAAAATCTAACTTTAACCATGATAAACCGGGTGCATCAATTCAAAATGTTAGGATTGATGTCTGATGATTAAATTTTATTAAGTTTTTATTTATTTATTTAGCTTTTGTTTGGTTATTTAAAATATATAAATTTTGCATACATATCAAATCCAGTATGCTAGGATTTAACAGTCAATTAAATTCAAGGCGCTTGAATTTAATAATGCATCAAGTTCAAGGAGTGTGATACACTTGTCAAACCCAAGACGCTTGAACTTTATAATCAGCTAAGCTTAAAACAATGCAGGTGTAGAATGCATATCAGATCCAATATACTTGAACTTAACAATTAACCAAGTTTAAAATAGCGTAAGTCTGACATACATACTAGGCCCAAAGCATTTAATATGTGCTTAGCCCAAAATAACATGGATCTAGTATTTGGACTTGACAGCTATTCAAGTCCACAATAATAACTATTCTTCTTTGGTATGACCAATATCCTTTAGATCTACTCTTAGAAAAGAATCTAGTATTTATATGCTTAGATATACTTGAGGTCTTAAACTCTAATCTCCATATACCTATTTAGATATATAAAAATCTTTCAAGGACCTACTATATTTTTATTGGGTTAGGAACATTTATACTTCATTCAATATTATTGAGATAATTAAACTGCAAATCCTTTTTTTCATAAAACCTTTAAAAAGATTCACAATATTTATTTTTTATTATATATATATATATATCATTTTTTCTAGAATATTCTTGTGTTTTTTCTTTTTAAAAAAACTTATTAAATCATTAGAGAGTCCTTATTTTCATAAAATAAAAAAAATATTTTATAAATATTAGTTATGAGTAACTATCTGTTAAGAACCAAGTATAAACAATTTATTTTAATTAAGAAAAATGAAAGAAATTATTAGAATTAGAATTAATTGATTAAGCACTTGATAAACCTAGGAATTCTTTTTCCATACTAGTCGGATTTTTGGGACATTATCATTTTCTTTTTAAATTAAACTAGATCTCACCCAAGTTTTGACCATTTTTGGCTGCATCAACTCCTTCCCAGCTATGAAGCTCAACCCACCAAGTCTTAAATCCGTGAGTTGGCCCACCAGGAATACTGGTTGCAAAACAATGCTAATGCATTGCAGGAATTTCATGCAACAAATATGACACGAATCAATGGTTAGCAGAAATTTTGTGTGATATTCATAAATTCGTGCCCCGTATCATTTCCCAAATCACAATAAATGGAAGAGCTTCCTCCAAAAGGTCCTTGCAGTTCTAGTCAGGGCACATCAAGAAAAATCATCAAAAACATGGCTAATTAAAACAGCTTATTGAATCTCAGCAAACTATTTCTGATCATCTGAAATTTCAAATTCCATAAAAATAAAAAAAAACCATTGATATAAAAATTACTAAGATAAAAAAGAATACAATTTTTTATTCAAGTTGTACTTTAAATAATATAAAAACTATATATAATAATAAAAAAAATAACAAAAATAAATGAAAAGAACTGAATCTATAGTCCTATAGATAGATCTAAACAACCAAATGTTAACTTAATAGAAGGGAAAAACAAATAAAAAAAAAGCTTTCAAAAAAAAAAACAATTTAGACAAACTTCTTAAATATGGTCTAATTTTTAAAACTTGAAACTCATTAAATTTTAAACTCGAGTTCAATTACAAAACTTAATTTATAACTAATTTAATTTTAAATAATAAAATCATTGAAAAACTATTAATAAAAAGAACTTACAAAAAAAAAACTAACAAGGATAAAATTTTAAAAAGAAAAAACATGAGGATGAAATTTGAAAAAAAAATAATCTAAAAAAATAACGATAATTATAAAAACTAAAGATTAAATTTGAAAATTTTAAAAAATTATAGTGAGTGAAATTTTTTTTTTTAATCTAATAGATTATTTATAGTTTAAAAAATTATAAAAAATAAAATAAAAAAAATTATAGAGTGCTAATCCAATAAAATCAAACTGCAAAAAATTACAAAATAAACATAAAAAAAATAAGAAAAATCAGCTTAAAAAAAAACAATCAAATCCTAAACCTAATCTAATATGTAAAACATACAAACTTGTAAAATTTTGAATATAGATTCAATTAATAAGTATAAATCTTAAAAAATTAATTTTAAAAGATGAAAACATAATTTTAAAAGATAAAATAGTAAAAGATGAAACAGTGAAAGGAATATTAATTATAAAAATACAACAAAAACAGTAAAAACAAAATTTGATAAAAATAAATCCAAGAAGGAAGAGATTTAAAAAATATAAAAAATAATCTTATATAAAATAAATAGTAATTTAAAAAATTAAATTTAAAAAAAATACAGAGATTAATATAAAATATATATATACATATATAATTTGATATAATATTTATAGTTCATATCAAACAATGATGATTTGAAAAATATTTATAATTTGATAAAACAATTTATCCAAAAGTTCATATCAAACAATAATAGGGGATGATTTGAAAAATATTTATAACGTGACAAGACTACTTGTCCAAAAAAAAAAAATCAATTTAAAGACTTACAAGTTTAAATCAACGAACACAATTCGATTTTTTTTAGCACCTGTGCCCATGATATCTAGATCCAGTTTTTATCACCCTTAAGCAACGAAAATGCACGTACCTTTCAGTTACCTTCATAATAATGCTAACAGTAAAGGTATCTTAAGACGTACGCTCATACCCACAATAAATGGCTAGCAGGCATGCCATGTTACCAAAATATAATTTTACGGCTTTAATCTTACGATCCTTTTTTTAATCAAAAGCTCCTCTCTCTGTACTAAAAAAATCCGAGTGATTAACTATTCCACTTCTCCACTTTTGGATGAACACCTAAAACAGGGGCGATATAGGAAAAGGTGAGTCATGGAAAGGCATATGCAAGAAAAAATCGAATTAGGATCACTGTCTAGACACTATATTAAATCATCTCAACCAAGAAGAGGTACAAGGAGGTGAATGGAGTTGCAAAACTGAACAAAATGGGCACATGTATATAGAGATACATTCCTAGACGGCGGTGGCCCCATTTGTAGTTGCATCCATGGGTTCAGCTTCTGTTGACTCCTCAGCTTTTTCGCCTGCTTTCTTGGCTGCAAAATTCAAGAAAATTAGAATTTGAATGTCAACAATGTTCATGCTCAACGATGAGTTTTATGTACTACGAATTATGCATTTGTATGATCACCTTTCTTCTTTTTGCCACCACCCTTCTTCTTTGTCTTTGTACCCAAAGCTAGCCAAGCCTTGATTTCAGGATCATCTATTGTTTTCGTAGGCTGCAACTC